TTCAATGATAAAGTATTCTATATAAGGAGACGACTTCTGCTGCATTTTCGGCGATTTTTCACTTTTATAACATTTCAATTCAATGGCTATACGCACTCAAGTCTAAAACGCAACAACAGGTAAGGAATCAATCAGAAAAGAGGAAATCAAGAATCTTTGTATCAGGGGCATCCAGGGATGTGGCGACCACGGGGTGCAGGGGGGTGCGCACCCCCTCACTTTTAGAAAATTTCGCTTTTTCCCAGCAAAAATTTGTTAAATTTATTGAAAAAAAAGATCGTGAGATGGAAAAATAAGGATCTGCACCCCCCCACTTTTTAAAATTTCGTAAATGCATTATTTCATGTTCAAAAATTTTTTAAATACACCCTCAATTTTTCAAAAAATTTCTCTTGCACCCCTCCACTTTTTTCTCTTCGCCACATCCCTGGGGGCATCCAGATGTATGTAGGCGTAGGAGTGACGGCTTCACTGTTGATGACAGTGAAGGGAACACTCGTAATCGCAACTCGACACCGATCCTACAGTCACACTCAGACGTCCAAAAGCACAACCATGGGTGTGGATGTTAGTCTTGACCCAACATACACCAGCACCCAGATCCTCATAGCCACATCCACATCTGATGAGAACGAGACTTGATAGCTCTTTTTCAACCACTCATCCGAATCCACAAAGTTGTCAGAAACTCCTCATAGCTTTTGAATAGATAGACGAATATCAGTTGATTCTTCTATAGAAGCCAAACTTTATTTTAACATGGTTTTTAAATATTTAAAAGATCGAAAAATTGCGTTCGAATTGAAATATACTCTATGTTTAAGTTTCAATCTTGCTTCCCATGATATACTTGTAACGAGAATTTTTGTTTTTATTGTTCTATTTCAGAGTAACAGTACTCGAATCAATGCTAGTAATTTATCAGAAATATGAAACCAATATGCTGCGTGTTCAGATATCTATATCTATTACAATATCTTCATATTCTGTATACCTTCATTTGTCTATAGTGAGAGATGTATCCCTGAGAATTTTAGACAGGCATCGATAACTATCGATCAAAATTTTCGAGCATCTGTGGAGTTCATTTGTATACCCGTCAGCGAATCATAACTAACACTGTGTGATTCAGGGACTTTATCATACATCGATACTCACAATAAAATTGTTTTAGTTTCAATCGAATTCGGGTCATATATAGTCAGGATATGGAATTACGAAAGCGGAAATTTTCGACTCATAAAGTTTTTACCTTCATAGGTTATCCAGTTTGTAGTGGAACGGAATCGCTCATATCATTACTCTGCTGTGCGTAGTCGAATAGCGGCACGGGTTTGTAAACATCATATATGATTCATACGATTGGAAATGCAGTGAACGAAGAGAATGAGGGAAAAGACGACCTTCGTGGGATTCAAGCCCACATCTCCTGCTATTCGGGCAAATGTCCTAACCCAATTAAACCAGAAAGCGTGTCTTAATCTTGGTTTAGCATCGCTGTGTATAATCATTGACGCTAATAGGTTTTTGTTGCTGATCTAGATTTATTGGGTGGAATGTGAGTGTGAGTAAGAGTTAAGAGAAGAGCCATATCGATGCTGCTTCATTCAAGAAAGAACATAAGAGAGATAAAAAATAAAAAGTGAACGATATATTTGTTTACTTTAAATGGCTCGAGAGAGAAAAACTGCATTACTGTAGTGAACATATTGACTGCTGAGTGAGTTTTGTGGAACTCACATTTTTTTCGAAGAAAATGGTGAGTGTAATTTTAAGAGCGAGTTTTCGTGGCTCCTACTCCTGCTAAATCCCTCTCCATTACAGACCGTAGCAATGAAGAATAACAGGCGTCACATTTTTTAGATTTTGTTGCAAAATTGATCAAGTTATAATTTTGAAAAATAATAAATATTACTACTTGTGAGTTGATTAACATAAATAATAGTGCTTGAGACCTGCTGCAAATATCATGAATATGTAAAACAGACATATTTGTCAATTAATTTAATGATTATAATAATCAGAATGTTAAATTAAGAAAAAAAGAATTTTAAAAAATGAAAATTCTTTTCGAAATGCAGAAATTAGAGAAGTCATTACTCTGAATATCAATTATCCTGCTAGCACCTATAATCTACGAGAGATTTATCACTTTATATGTTATGTATTAGTTTAGTTAGGCTAGATAGTATATATGAGTTCTATATTTCAGTCTCAAAGGAGCTGCGCTAACAAGCTTTTTTATGAAATAAAAGTAACAAAAAATGGCTTTGATGGAGCCAGGAATCTTGATACTCATCTTGTTACCGGCATATTGTTATTTTCAGGCATTAATACAGGACTTTTTGCCACTTTCAATCGCTTGGTTTTAAATTTCAGACATTTTGAAACTTGGGGACACGATACTAATACTTTGATCAGACTATAGATAATGCTATAAGAATATTTAGCTGGGCAAAGCGAGTACGGAGAATGTTGATGATATCATGTCGATATAAAGCATATTTTTAACATGCTTAGAAGAATGCTATGTTGTTTGTCGAACGACACTTTGGTCGACAGACTTTTCGTCGAAGTAACTTTGTCGAAATTTTTTTGTAGAAAAGCATTTTGTCGAAAGTGAATTATTTTCTTCTTATTTATCTCGCCGTCAGAAGACAAGTTCAAAAGTATCTCCTAATTAACTTTGTCCCTTTAGCGATGGTGGAAGAATTCCAGGGCACTATTGAATAGAATTACATACTTTTCGTCGAAAAGTACTTCAAGGCAAGGTTTGTAGTCCCCGAGACAATTCCGGATCCTTCAATTCTTCTACAGAACTGTTCAGAGTTAAGCGGACAGTGAATTTTCATTCACACTCACGTTTGTAGTGCCCTTGCCCTCACCCTCACATTTGGAGTGTCTTGCATGGCTGTTGTCCTCACAGCCATGCTCACTCTCACTCACCCTTGCCTTCACGTCATTTTTTCATATACAATATCATTTAATACCAGTAAAGGATGTGGGTGTGGGTGTATTCTTTCTCGACACCCACACTTACACCTTCAATCTGGTTGAAGAATTCGAAAATGCAAAAAACTTTCGACTTGAATCTAGTTTTCCATTTTTACACTACTGCTTCTCCATCCTTCTCTCTTCATTGTCATGCATTGAAACTTTTTAAATCAATCTGATTTCCTTCATTTTTTATTTTAAAAATCATTTACGATAATCAAAATATTTTTGTCTGAGGAAAATAGTCCTTCAGTTCTTCAGTAACTCTATATTCACTACGTAGTCATAACGAACAGATTTTTGCATAATTGATTTGTGTTGCATCTCTTGAAAAAATTTCTGTAACCCTTTCTAGGTCTTCATAATAGAAAATAGATTTTGTGCATTAACCAGAAATTGTTCGACGTAATCATAACGAGCTTCATAAAAATTTTGTTTAGTCATATGTAGATATTTAATAATCGTTAAATCTTGATTGTCGTTCTTTGATTTTCTATATAATTTATTCTTCTGTGATTTTTTATTAGTTACAGTTAATTCTTCCATAAATGGAAATGATCGAGCAATTTGATGAAAAAATTCATTTTCGAATGGGTGTTCATCCAATAATGATACTTTATAAACATAGTTAAATTATCCACCTGGAAAATTATTTGTAATAATATCATAATATTTCATTCTAGATCGACATATATAAATATGACAATAACTATATCGACTTTCTTGAAAGAGAATTACGACTTCATAGCATATAATACATCTTGAATGTACTAGCAGAAAGTCATAGTATAGAAGAGCCATTTTGTATCTTTAGTTAGCTTTTTTCTCTTGACTTTATCTTTTTGCTTTCACTCTGAAGTAGATGTTCACCTCATCATCATTGTCAATCGTGTCATTTTAGCTCAAAATGAATAACAAGATTCACAGTCAAATTCCAAAAATTTTGAAATAAAATAAATTCTGGATATTGTTCTAATTATACACTCAAGTGTTATTTCGATCGAGCCATGCCATTCTAAAAATCGATTCCATTAGCTACAAAATCTATGAGAAAGCATTCTCACGTGTCAGTTCGCTTGTCAGCTGAGATTTAATGCACATGGTAGATCTTAGTAAACTGTGCCTGCCATATAATGAATTCGTACTTATTGCCTGCTTATGAAGAGATCGAAGATTTTTAGGGAATTATTCCTGTAAGATCATACATAGCAAGGCCGTATTTTTGAATTTCGACCTGAAATTTCTCCGACATAAAGACCTCGATGAGATTAGTTTGCATAAAAAATTGCAGAATTTTTCTACTAAACCTTTCCAAGAGATAGAACTCTCAAGCTATAGAGTATTTTCAATAGATGGCTTATACAGTATGTATTTTACGGAAGCTTCATATCTCGGGGAGACTTAGCCCATAAATTCTGAAATCTTTTATGCTAGCTAATCTAATCGAGGTCTTTACATTGGCAAAGTTTCAGGTCTTAATTCAAAGATAAGATCTTGCTGTAAATATGAGATCCTAGGGAGAAAATCCAATAAAAACGTTTAATCTCCATAAAAGTAGATAATAAATACGAACTCATTTTATTATAGACATAGTTCACTTCAAAGATGTCCATGGCTGCACTGCCGCCGCTGCGACAGCATCAGCGGCGCAGTAGCGGCACTTTTTTTAAATACTAGTCCAACAATCAGAATCAAGATTGAGCCTAATGAATTCAATTCAACTGTGCTAATTTGTCATAGTGACGGAAGAGATTTTAGTAGAGTTTCTGAAAACTATCGCGACAACAACAATTTTTTTTATATGGTTCACTTAGGTTAGCTACAATCATGTAAAGTATATCATCGCTAAAATTATTATCTGAATAAATATTTC